TCAATCCCTGGTACAAAAACAAAGTATGCATGCCTAGGGCCCAACTGAAATCCATTGAATCAGAACTTCTGAGTGTGGAGCCAGGGAATCAGAAATTTCTAAAAGCACTTCCAAAAGATTCTATTACACACTAACTTTTAAGGAATAATGAGAATAACCCTCTAGTAGTCACTAATTCCTATAATATCTCTCTCCCCAAATCATAATCTTAATCAAAAGCTGACGGAGACACATGGTAGAAAGGAAACTCTATCACGTACGTGTAGGTTTTAAAAGATAGACATACAATTAAACAAGATCGACTAGTATAAAGAATCTCAAGAAGGGTTCTTTCCCCTTTCACTTTATCACAGGTAAATATAGCTCTTTATAGATGACATAAGTCTTCTTCCATTTAAGATAAAGGAAAGAAGCAAACACTTTTATGTCATTAAGAAATTTCCAGAATTTGTACCTCCCCATACTCACACCACATGCAGAGCAATGTTATAAACACTGACATCTGTTTCAGTAATACATGTCCAACTAGTGTCCACACAAAGTTTACAGAATCCCAAGTCCTTCAAATTCCTGCCCCTAAGCCAAAACAACCATTACGAATAATTCGGGGTGATACTTTGCTTTTTATCACCAATATCTCCTTCATATTCCCATATTAGCCCATATAAATCAACCCCCTTCTTGTTAGCGGCTTCACAGTATTTCTTTGTATGTCAAGAAATACCGTAATTTATTTCAGCAGTCCTCCAGTAAAGGACATTCAGTTTGAGTTTGTTTTACATTTAATTTTGTTGAGGAATTACACATAATGCTATGAAGAATATCCTTGTACATTTGCCACTGAAAACTTGTAGCTAATATATCTTTAGGAAAAAATCTTAAACATGGAATTCCTGGGTCAAAAGGTGTATGTACTTTAAATTTTTAAAAATAATGCCAAACTATACTACAAACTCATTAAATAAATAAACATTTCCATTAAACAAGTGTAAGTATCCCATATCTCTAACACTGGCATTATCAAATTTCCTGGATTTTTTAAAAATCAAACCTAATATTTTATTTTCACTTACAATTGAAGCTAAAAGACTTTTTTTGGGAGGGGGGGTTTGCTTTTTCTTTTTCCTTTTTACATGACATGCTACTATTTCACTAAATTTTTGTTTTGTTTTTGGTACTAAAGATTGAACCGAAGGATGTTTTACCACTAAGCTACAACCCCAATCCCTTTTTGTTTTTTAATGTGAACTCACTAAGTTGCTGATGATCTCACTAAGTAGCTGAAGCTAGCCTTGAATTTGTGATGCTCCTGCTGCAACCTCCCAAAACACTAGGAGGTTGCAGCAGGAGCATCACAAGTTCACCATGTACTACCATGCCCAGCTCTACGATGCCAATATAAAAACTGTCTTTATTAGTGCATTATAGCTATATATAATCGTGTGGCTCATTTTGACATATTAATAAATGCAAATAACACAATTTGCTCCATTTTAATCCCCAGTGCTTCCCTTTTCTCTTCCCTTCCTCCCTCCCCCAGATCACTTTCCTTTACTCTACTGGTCTATTCTACAAACTTATGTTAGACTGTATTCTTTCTTTTTACTGATTTTAACACTTTTTTTTTTTTAGAAAACTTGTTCTTAATATGTATATAACAAGTATGCCTTTTCCCCAATAGACCTTTTACCTATGTCTATTAATTTTATTTAAAGAATGCTTTTTTGCTATACAAAATTAAAAATCATACAAAGTAAAAATTTTTCAGATCTTCTTTAATGTTTTCTAGCTTTTGAACACTGCTTAGAAATTACTTTGTTACACAAGATAATGAGCATATGTGATTCTCCTAGCACTTTTACAGTCCTACTGATAATCTAGAATTTATTTGGGGGTAGAGAAAAAGGTAGAGAATCCAGTTTTATTTTGTCTTTCCATTGCCCCATTAGAGCTAGCCAGTTTTCCAAGACCATTTACAAATAAATCATTCCTTCCATCTACTGATATGAAATGCATTCATTATCAAGGTCATTATTATCATATATTATTTCTACAGACATCTCAGTATGAATTTTTTCTTTTGTTCTATACTTAATTTTTCTATCCCTGTACAGATACAAATCACTTATTACTGTATATTAGTATACCTATAAAAAATCTTGTTAGGCTTTTTCATTACATTTTTCTCCAGAATTCATGTTGAATCTAGAAAAAAATACATCATCTAGAAGAAACACAGAGTCCTTCTTGGGTTTCTCCTACATTTGGGGGATTATAAATGTGATTACATTTAATTTATGCATTAATTGAGAAAAGAATTCATAGCTTTCCCATTTTGGTATTACCAGCAGCAGCAATAGCAGCAGTATGTAGTGATACATGATTACAGCAAACAAGTGTTGAGCGCTATGTGCCAAGCCTACTCGATGTGCTTACTTTAATATTCCCAACACCTTTGTACTGAGTGTCATATCTTCATTTGATAGATGAGGAAATTAAGGCTCAAAGAGTTGCAGCAACTTGTCCCAGGTAACAACTATTAAGAAAAGTAGCTGATATTTTACCCTGTGTAATGTGAGTTAGACCCATACTCTGAAGAATAAAGTACCTGAAAACAAAGTGTCTTTCATTTATTCAACTGTCCATTTCAACTGAATTTTACTTTTCTTCTTTTAGACCCTGAATATTAGTTGTTTTGGTTAACTCCTTGGTGAATTTATTTGTCATTTTAAATGGGCCCTATACTTTCATTTTATTTCTAACTTACTATGGTTTGCATTTTTTAAAAAAACCCTACCAATTTTAGAACATTAACTATAGATGTGTCTGCCTTACAGATCTCCCATATTGTCTTGTACCATTTTTTAGTTGACAATGTAAGCTTTCCAAATATACAGTCATATCATTGGCAAATACTTATAACTTTAATGCACTCTTTCCAGTATTGATATTTCTCAATGTCTGGATCAATCTTTCATGCTTTATGGCATATAACTCTTTTGCTACTATATTCCATTTTTAATATTTTCCTTATAATTATTGCTTAAGTGAAACTGGTCCTTAACTTTTTTTGGAAGGTTTGGTATCAATGATTTTTTTGTCCATCTCATGTCTTTCATCCTTCCTTTGCTTTGGAATAGTTTAGCATTGAAATAATCTTATCCTTTAAATTAAAATAATCCACCTGTGAAACTGTGTAAGTTTAGTGCTTTTATGATACTTGCTCAATTTCTTCTTCAACAGTTACTGCCTATTTAGATTTTCTATTCTCCGGGGTAAATTTTGATCATTTATATTTTCCTAGTAAATTCTTAAGACTTATTTTAAATAATATTGAATAATTCTTACTTGCATAAATCTGCAATAATTTTGTCTCACCAAAACTGAAAAAATATGAACAAACATATAAATCAACATTATTGGAAAACACTCACAGCCAGGATGAGTTAAATGTGTCAAACTGGGAGCAAATACTGGTATACAGCTTTTTATTCAGGCCATGGGTTTTGAAAAGAAATCTTTAAACAGAGCTTTATAAGTAATGAACTGCTACTAGGATGTTCATACCCAGAGAACTGTGAATAAAAGAGAAATTAAATCAACACTACTATGAACTGCAACAGATGCATATTTCTTGCTATAAGGTAGGGAATGGTTTGAGTCAAATAAATACTGTATCTGTTGAGTATTCATAAAATACAACTTATAATAACAAAACTGGGTAAAATGTTCTTAAGTGTTACTTCTCCAGTTATCTACACTGTAAAGTAGCCTAAGTATCAAAGTATATAGTGAGACATTTTTCTCTCACATTTATTTATTAGAAGCATCATTTTCAAACATTTAATAAACACTCACTGCCAGGGGCTATTGTACATGCCTACACTCCCAGCTACTGGGAACGCTAAGTCACAAGGATCATTTCAGCCCAGCAGTTTAATCAGCCTGGGCAACAAGAGAGACCCCATATCAAAAACAGTAGAAGAAGAACTCACTATGAGCTGGACACTATGTCAGAGATATAGAAATAGTTAAGACATGGTCCCTTGGCTCAAAAGACTTAATATTTCCCTTCACCCCTAGAACCAGCATGATACACTTATAATATATTCGGGGTTGTACATAAAAACCTCAAGAAATACAGCCACACTAGAACCTTGCTTCATAAACCATAAGAGTTTCATAAGAGTTGAAAATTAAATATTGAATAGACTAAGCTAATGATACCAATATCCATAATCTTTGAATAGCTACCTCAAGTTTATATTAATGTTAAATCCTTATGTCTCCAATTGAGTATAATTTTCCTTTCTACGATAAGGCTTAAATACAGAAACAAGATATTAAAATTTCAATAAGGAAGAAAGTGACAATAGAAAAACAATGAGCTAATTTTTTAAAAATATTACACATCAAAAGGATCCTCTACATTAATATTCGAATGTTAATGAATAGACAGGCATGGTGGTACAGGCCTATAATCCCGCAGCTCCTTAGACTGTAGGATCACAAGTTTAAGGATAACCTCAGCAATTTAGTGAGACTCTATCTCAAGATAAAAAAATTAAAAAGGCCAGGCACAACGACAAACACCTGTGATCTCAGTGAGTTGGGTGGTTGAGGCACCAAATTTGAGGCAAGCGTCAGCAACTGAGTGAGGCCCTAAGCAACTTAGCAAGACCATGTCTCAAAATAAAAAATAAAAAAGGCCAGGAATATGACTCAGTGGTAAACCACCCCTGGGTTAAATCCCTACTATGCAAAAAATAAAATAAAAACAAAAACGACTCGAGATGCAGCTCAGTGGTAAAGCACTCCTGGATTCATCCCAGTACCCCTCCAAACAAAAGAATAATAAAGAATAACCAAAAAAAGTTTATGTTTATATCATTATCCTTAAAAAAGAAAAAGAAAGAAAGAAACTTATCTAGAAACACTATACACCATGTCTACATTCCAACAAGATACATAAGCAATGTATTTAGATGGCATGAACATACCTGTGCACATGATTCTTCAGGTGTTTTGGCACTGACTGAATAAAGTGCTGGGAGATCTAGTCTATGCACAGAGAATCTTTCTAGAGTATGCAAAAGTGCTGGAGCAAGGTGAGAAGTTTGACCTGAGCCTCTTTCTCCAGATAGCAATAATCGTGGTCTGTAAGAGGTTGGCTGATGGTATGGTGACCTGTAATACACATAAAAACATAATAGTGATTTCAAAACTATACCTTCTGAAGATCAATGTGAGAACAATAGGAAAATACATTACAAGAATTAAACTATAAATTAAGAAAACTTTATTATCTTTTTTAGTATAATCATATTTTTCATTAATTCCGATTCTAAAATGTTGACTATTTTTGACAATTAATAACTAAGATGTTAAAGAATGAAATCCATTCTATGGCAGTTATCAAGAATACAAGCAATAATTAGTGTTGGAGATGATGTGGAGAAAAAGGTACATTGCTGGTGGGACTACAAATTGGTGCAACCACTTTGGAAAGCAGTGTAGAGATTTCTCAGAAAACTTGGAATGGAACCACCATCTGACCCAGCTATCCCATTCCTAGGTCTATATCCAAAGGACTTAAAATCAGTATACTATAGTGACATAGCCATACCAATGTTTATAGCAGCTGAATTCACAATAGCTTAATTGTGGAACCAAGCTAGATGCCCTTCAATAAATGAATGGATAAAGAAACTGTGGTATATATACACAATGGAATATTACTCAGCATTAAGAGAGAATAAAATTATGGCATTAGCAGGTAAATGGATGGAGTTGGAGAATATTATGCTAAGCAAAGTAAACCAATCCCAAAAAACTGAAGGCCCAATGTTTTCTCTGATTAGTGGATGCTGATCTATGATGGGGGGTGGGAGACATGGAAAAAATGGAGGAGCTTTGGATTGGGCAAAGGGGAGGGCAGAGAGGGATTATGAAGACAGGAAAGACAGTGGAATGAGATGGACATCATTACCCTAAGTACATGTATATTTACACAAATGGTGTGTCTCTATATCATGTACAACCAGAGAATTGAAATGCTGCTCTCCATTTATGTATGATGAATTAAAATGCATTCTGCTGTTATGTACATCTAAGTAGAATAAATAAATAGATAGATAAATAAATAAATAAAATCCATTCTAAAGGAAAGAAAAGGTACCTTGGTTTTCATCCTGTCATACTGTGTTTATTAATGTAAAGAGTGGAAAAGACTATGTCATTTAGTTATTAATTATCAAAGGTCAAATGTTAAGAATTTCAATTCTCAAACAAGTGGGGAGATCTGCAAATTATCCCAAATATAAGACTTTTTAAAATCAGTTAAAATAGTAAATTTTATTCTATGCATTATTTTCCCAATTCTATGGTATGAATGTGCCCTCCATGAATTTAATATTGAAACTTAATCATAAGTGATAAGTATTCAGAGGTAGAGCTTTATAATGTGATTACATCATGAGGACAGAGCCTTATAAAAGGGCTCAAGAGAACTAGCTTGTCTGTTTGGTCCTTTGCACCATGGAGAACAAGCATTCAAGATGCTGTCTTAGAAGCAGAGACTGAGCCTTTACCAGACACTGAACATAATGCTGCCTTAATCTTGGGTTTCTCTGCCTCCATAAGTGTTAACAATAAATTTATGCTGTTTATAAATTGCACAGTCTAAAGTATTTTGTTAGAGTGTCAAGAGTAGTCTTAAACCATCATAATTTTAATAACAGAAAAGAAGGCTTTTGCAGCTATGGCAAATTTTGTTTATGTCACAATATAAACTAACTGTTCTTATTCTAATATATGACATATAAAGCCATACACTAGAGAAAGAAAATATATTAAATCAAACTTAATTTGTAGTTTGAAGATTCTACAAAATGATTAAAGTAACAAATGAAACACATTTAGTCATTGTAGTTAGCAGTGGGAATTCTAAGGTAATACAATAAGAATAAAGCAAAATGAAAAGGGAATAAAAAGAAGTAGGGAGCTGGACACATGGTTCAATGGTAGAACACTTGCCTAGTATAGTGAAAGAGAAAAAAAAAAAAAGGTTAAGAAAACCCTGATACCATAATCTTAAAGAATCTTAAAGAATAAGATTATGCACTTTAAAAACGAGGAAAAAACATTAATTACATCAGGAATTACAAACAACCTGAACACAAAGACTAAATATACAAAGTCTTCCTCATCATTTATACTTTATTTTAAACAACAATTTCAAATAAAATCCCTAAAGAATTTTATCTGAAAAAAAAAACAATCAACTAAGATCGTCAAAAAAATTTTGGAAAAGTATGTTAATGATTTTACAGCACTCAAACATGTATTAGTAACAAGCATGTTATATGGATTTCTTGCTCTATTTTCTTAACAATTTATGAAATACAGTTTCATTTTATTAAACAGATGAGGAAACTAAAGCTCAGAGAGGTTAGTTATAAGACTGAACAAACTGGTGGCAGAATTAAAATTTTTATTCAGGATAAAGTGTAAATCCCAGAACTGCAGAAGAAAGAGAATGAGAAGCAGTGGTGGGGAGGGAAAGAAAGGAGAAGAAAGAAGTAAAAGGAGACCATATTCTCATTCAGGATCATATGGTTACAAAGCCCAGGCTACTTATATTGAAACATAGAATAACAATTAATAGAAAATAGGATACACCAATGAAAAGAAAGAGAACAATGAACCATAATAAGCAGACCAGGAAACAAGTCAAAGTAATTGAAAGAATTTTAATTTTATAAAAGAAAAAAATGCAATAAGAATGGATCATAAAATAAACATTAAAAAAAAAAAAGAGGATTCAGATCCTCATTTCAAAGCACTGACAAAATGAATTCTAAACCAAAAACAAAGTAAGAAAAACAGAAGACTCAGGAGCTGGGGCTGTAGCTTAGGCAGTAGAGTGCCTGCCTAGCACATGTGAGGCACTGGGTTTGATCCTCAGCACCACATAAAAATAAACTACATCTACAACTAAAAAAAAAATATTTTTTTTAAAAAAGACTCGTGTGTGTGTGTGTGTGTGTGTGTGTGTGTGTGTGTGTGTGTGTATGTATGTATATATGAGAGTGCAGGAGCTCAAACCCAGAGACTCATGTGTGCTAGGCAAGTGCTCTACCACATGCCCAGCCTTAATATATTTTTAATTCACAGAAATCTAAAAACACTTTTGTAACTCAAAATACATAATCTGAACTATATGGCAAGCAACCAAATAGGACAAAGAATTTACCATAAACAGGAATTATTCTTGTTTTTAATATTTTCTTAATATTTATTTTTCAGTTTTCGGCGGACACAACATCTTTGTATGTGGTGCCGAGGATCGAACCCGGGCCACACGCATGTCAGGAGAGCGCGCTACCGCTTGAGCTACATCCCCAGCCCCAACAGGAATTATTCTTAAAGAATAAAGAATGTATGTACATAGTTTAAAAAACAAGAAAAAAAAAAAACCCAACAACCTCTATGGGCAAAAGATATAGATGCCTGCAAAGGAAAACAGAAAGAGGTAATTTTTTTAATGTTTATTCATTTAACAATTGTAGAAAGGCTACTATGCTAAATGTCCTGATCCTAGGCATCCAACAATATCGCTGTTAGTATTGAGTTTGTAACTTAATGGTACTTAGCATACGAATTACCATAATTCAATGTGATGAATAAGTGGTAATATTTAAGTACACAGTACTATGGGAGACCCTGTCTAGAGACACACAAAAGGCTTTCCTGGAAAAGCTTTACTAAACCAGAAATTGAACAGATCTGAGACAGAAGGGGTGGGTTACAAAAAAGAAAAACAGGATGTGGAAAAAAAAAAAAGAAGCTAAAATGAGTGTGGGCCTTTGTGGTAACGGGTGTACTTCACACAAGCAAGTTTCTTCTCATATATTGAAGCAACATAGAAGTAAAGGACTAGAGTTGGAGAGAAGAAAGGGAAGGAGAGACAAATGGTGAGAGGCTATGATGGATTTTGTCAGCCATTTTAAAAGTCTGGAACATGCACTGAAAACAATGAGGCACTAACATACATACTTTAAGGGTCCTCAGACAGTTGGCCCTCTGTATCCATGGATTCCATATACATAGATTTAACTAAATATGAGGGGGAAAGTTGCATCTGTACTTAACATGTATATACTTTTTTCTTGTCATTATTCCCTAAACAGTACAGTATAATAAGTATTTACATAGTATTTATAAATACATTAGGAATTATAAGTAATCTAGAAATGATTTACATATAGGAGGATACATTTGATTGCATTTACCACTCTCTCAAACATTAGGTTTTCTGCAAATACCACCTCTTTTCCCAGTAGACTTTACCACTGGCAAATTAAAGTATCTGAAGGGGGCTCAGAAACCAAGGTCCCAAAGATACTAAAGGACAACTATATTTTTTGAGAAGATAACTCTAAGCCAATATATCAGGATGAAAAACAGTTTTGAAAGAAGGCAAAATGAGAGGAGAGATGATCAGTAAAAGGTCTGCTATAGTAACCCAGGTATGAGAATTTAATGATAGTCTAAATAAAAATAACATCAGAATATGTGAGAAGGAATAGCCTGACCTGAGGCTTATTTGGTAAGACAAAGAGGACTTCATCATTAACTAGATAGAGAAAGGAAGAAGAAAGTGAAGGATAGTGTCAAAATCTAGCTGGGACAACTCAATGGATGCTACAGGCCTCAGAGGAAAAGAATCAGAGATACAGTACAGTAATATGCAGAAAGACCAATGGTACAATGAAGGAGATATAGGGAGCTAAACAGGGTCTGAAACTCAAGAGTGACCTAGGCTTCAAAAATCATATGGGAGTCATTAATACACAGATGAAAAAAATTAAGAAAATATAAATAAAGGGCTGGGGATGTGGCTCAAGCAGTAGCACGCTCGCCTGGCATGCGTGCGGCCCAGGTTCGATCCTCAGCACCACATACAAACAAAGATGTTGTGTCCGCTGAGAACTAAAAAATAAATATTAAAAATTCTCTCTCTCTCTCACTCTCTTTAAAAACAAAGAAAATATAAATAAAAACAATAAAAATCTTTTTATCTGATACATTGATAAATTAAAAATTAACTAATACTAATTATTACTGAAAGGATGCAAAAATCGGTATTCTCACATCTACTGCGGGGGACAGGGGATGTAAAAGCACACCTTTTCTGAAGTTGTATTTGACAAGTCAAAATATGTCAAAATGTATGTTCAAAAATATTCTATATCTTACCCTACTCCCAAGGATTTCCTAAATTCTTATGATTCTCAGCATTTTTTTCATTGTACTTATCTTCTACCATTTCATATATATAACATTTATTATTTTACTGCCTGTCTCCTCTACTTAAATGTAAAACAAGGGTTGGGGTTTTATCCATTTTGTTCAGTGACAAATCCCAAGTACCTAGAATATATCTGGCATATAATAGGCACTAATACAGAATATTTAAATGAATGAATGAATACATGAAAGAAGAAATGAACGAACAAAAAAAATATTATTTTCAACTATCTGGTTAATTAAGACTTAAAAAGACAAACAGAGGAGAGGGTAGACTGCTTGCCTAGCACATATGAGGCCCTGGGTTTAATCCCAAGCACTACCCAAAAAAAATAGGACAAACAATGTTCAAAATTGACAAAAGTCTTTTTACATTAGATTACATTTACCACTCTCTCAAACATTAGTGGTAAGAGGGTAAATTGGTAAAATCTTTGTAGAAAGCAACTTAGCAATCTGTATCAAGGTTTTAAATATATATATCCTTTGACACAGTGATCACGATTCTTAAACTTTACCTTGAGTATTGAATCAAACAATGATGTAAAGGCGTATACTCAAAAAGACGTCTATTGTCACACTGTTTATAAAAGAGGAAAATGAAAAACTTCAAATTTTATTAATTCTATAAATTTTGGAACATCCAAAAATTAAAACTACACAGTTATCTTTAGAGTATTACATTAAACATACGAACATGAAATAACATTCCCAGCATAGTGGATAAAAAAGCAAGTTACATTAACACCTTATAGGAGTATATAGTCTGCATAAAATCATATGTAGGTCTATTTATAAATAGAGTACATGGAGGGGTGGTCACCAAAACTTGAAAAAATATTACCTTCAGCTGCTGGGACTTTAATTTTTACTTTCTTCTTTATGCTCTTCTTTATTACTTGAATTTTCTACAGAGTATATCATCTTTCTAATCAAAAAAAACAAAGCTATTTTCATTTTAAAAACTTTAAGAAAGCTCTGTTTTTAATCCCCTTTTGGTAATACAAAAAAGCAAAGAAAACTTACTTTCTATCATAGGGCCTCTCTACCAGATTGAGAGACCTTAATTATCTTGACTTCTACTGTATCTTAAATCTTTTAAAGAGGTTTCAACATTGATTTAGGACACTACTTTGAGAAACCCGCCAGTAATACCCAGGCTGTTATGGCTGGAGAGCTTCAGCAACACTAAGGTCTTCTTGCCATTACCTTTTTCTACACTGATCTGGCATGCTAAACAACAACAACAAAACATCCCTATGTGTGGCCTTTGTGTGTAGCTACCCTTTGTGTGGTTTTTATTCAAAAGAGCATGCTTCTTGGAGAGTGTGAAAAATCATACCCAATTTACCCAAGGAAGCAATACAATTCCATATCTATTTGTAAAATGTAGAAACCAATTTGGAAAGAACATGATCCCAGGAAACAAATAGAACAGTTTGGCTCTGAATTTGTTAGCACAATCCTGAACAACTAACTTATTTCTGCTTCAGTTTCCTCTTCTATAAAATGATATCACAAATGCACATGTCCAGTCTGTAATAAGCACTCAGATGCTAACTCTCATCCTTTTATACTTAAAGGAGAGCAAATGTCGCTGTTGCCTGTGAAGCTTTCCTGGACTTTCCAACATAATTAGTTTTGCTCTCATAGAATTTTAGTAACATTGCAATCTTTGCAACCCCAATAACAAGAACTTCTATAGAGTAAGAACTATATCTTATTCATGCTTGTGTTTTCAGCACCTACTACAGTAAACAAAAGTTGGAAGAAAGAGTGGGTGAACAGAGATATAAGTTAATAAATATTAACTTACATGAAATATCTAAGAAAAAAGCTTGTTCTATAATATCTAGATAATAAAGTTTTTAAAAACTAGAAAAGCTTATATAAAAGAAGATAAACCAATTCTTTTAGAAAAGCTAAGCTAAAGAGTTATATTAGTGACACACATCAAATCAGTGAAGAGAATGTTCTCAATAAAACGTCAAACTGGAAATGAAGCTTTCTAACATCAAAAACTGTTTCTATATTTCTTTATTGACTAAAGAGCAAATATAAGGCTTCTAATAGTTCCTTAGCTCCTGCTATTACATAATTCCAATCCAAACAACTAAGACTGCCAAAACAATACACACACAAACAGGCTAACTATGTTTTAAAAATTTAAAAATTATTTAACTGGCCTGTAATTAATAAAATTGATCTATAAAATGTTAGAAGAGTCCAAGAAAACTTCCCTAGGAACATAAAAGAAAGAACTTAGAAAACAAGAAAAATCTAACAGAACATGCTATGCTGTTAACGAATATATCAAGAGCTGAACCTGGAGGCTCCTACCTATAACCCAGCAATTTGTGAAGTTGAGGCAGGAGGATAGCTGGAGGCCAGCCCCAGCAACTTACTGAGACCCTCAGCAACTTAGCAAGACTGTCAAGGGAGGGGGGAAAAAAAGACAGAGGATATAGCTCAGAGGTAAAGTACTCCTGGGTTCATATCTCAGAAATAAATAAATAAATAAGTCAAATCAAGAAAAAAAGAATAGATGAAAATAATTTAGATCCATTTTTAAAACACCAGAAAAAAGAAAGAGTCATCAATGCAAATAATCAAAAACATTTCACCAAAATCTACATGGGGAAACTTTGACTCAAGTTGAAGACTTGAATTTGTTCAAAATACCTCTATAGAAAAAATTACTTAGAAGTACACACAATCAAGCCTCTTCGAATACAAGTGCTATTAGACCTACCTGACTGGAGGTTTATGGTTCTTCAACTATGGTGTTAATTATGTAAATGCAAGTAATGATGCTATTAGTATTTGAAAACTTTTTGGTCTCTTAATTTAAAATTACATTTGTACTAAAAGTGTTTATCCATTACAGTAAATGGCAAAAGCTACTTTAACATAATTCAAAGCTAAAAGTAAATAGAAAAGCCATAAAATCTAAATTACAAAAGTGTAAACCAATAACATTTTAAAGAATCAAAAAGTTTTTTAATTACTGAGCAATTTCTAATTCAAAATCTCTTTAGTAGCCTTGGATTTCATAAATTATCATCTGAAACTTATCAAAAGTGCTCTAGAATGAGGTTAATAATTCATTTCTGACCATTTTAGTTCAAACTGAAAGCAATAAAATTTGGGGCCCACGAGTTGATTTCCAAAGGGTAATCCTTCCCCATTCTACACACACACACACACACACACACACACACACAAACACACAAACATTTTGTTTAAAAAAAGGAGGGGGGCAAAATAACAGATAAGACTCTGCTTGAGAAAAAACAACTTTAAGTATTTGACCAAAAACTTAATTATTACCACACAAAAAAAACATACACAGTAAAAGTTTTCCAGAATTATGTCCAAACAAGAGAAAAACAAAGCCCTAGAATTATAAGACGTAAAAATTAATGTAATTCTAAGAGTAAAGTAGCAAAAAAAAAATCATTCTAGATTGAAGGAAATTTGATATGAATTACTCACATTGTAAAATGAAGGAAGGGTTTATGTATAGCAGCAGTTGATGACTGTTTCTTTGGTGATCCTGAGTGACAACTAGTCTCAAAAATTGATAAAGCATTCTCATCTTCACTATCATCTAAAATTAGATTTTCTATATCTGTGTTTAAAAAAAAAAGCACAAGAATTATGAGGCTTATGAAGATTTAATTTTAGTTCTCTACCCAGATAAGGAAAATTGAGTTAAAAATTAAGTGACCTTAACTAACAAGTTATCTATCAAATAATACAGATTGATCAGCAAACTGACAAACTATAATATTCTGAATACTTTATAATGGGATTACATATAATTCTTTCACTTTATAAACTATCCACTTAAGTATTGTGAGATATAATTTGGGAAATGTGGCTTACGAAAATACATCTGGAAAAGCAGCAGCACTCTCATCACGTCTCACCTACTAATGAAAACTGAGTTAAACTGGACCTAAATCATTCTGCTTTATATCTGGGTTCAATTAATAGGGTAGATGAGTCAAGGACAGTACTTACAAAAGTAACAACAAAGAAAAAATTGACCCTTATTTTTTAAACGGCATACAACTTTTCAAGGAAAACATGGCCTAATTAAGGTGGAGTCAGGAATTCAGTTCAAGCCCATCTTAAAAATGTACTCATTCCATCAGCATTAGTCTGTCTATGGGCCTTAGGCTACTGCTCAGTGGACCAATTGGAACTAAAATTCCTCTGAGAATGCAATACTTAAAAAACTTTTCCTGGACTACAACCTGAAAGATTAACATTTATATTTCACACAAATGCCATCAAAAGTGCCAATTTGGGGGCTGGAGTTGTGGCTCATCAGTAGATCTCTCGCCTCCTTGCCTCGAATGTGTGAGACCCTGGGTTTGATCCTCAGCACCAGATAAAAATAAATAAACAAAATATTGTGTCCATGTATAACTAAAAGGATTTTTTTTTTAAGAAAAAAGTGCCAATTTGTTCAACAGAGAAAAATGCAATGTATGTAGATACAGGGGAGAACTAAGATTGACAGAAATCAACTCTAAGTGCTGTATAGATGCACACCTATAATCCCAGCTACTGCCAGTGGAGTGCTTAAGCTCAGGAGCTCAAAGATGGCATAAGTAACATAGTAAGTCCCCATCTCAAAAATAAAATAAAGACTGACAAAAATCATAGCTTTCCAAAATAAAGGAAAAAATAGAGGAATGCTTTATAAAATGAGATACAGATTTGTGCAGACAGAGATCTCATAGGTTTTAATTAATCTGAAAATTAACTGAGTACTTTTTGAGTGATAATTTCATTCAAAAGGAATGGATATTTGTCTACAAAAAAATATTAAAGACCAAAACAAACCAGAATACATCTAAAAGACTAAAAATTAATTGCCATTAATTAAATAAAATTTGGTTGCTCTTCTCTACTGGTACATGCTATTAGTTCCATTAATTGAAACAAAAGCATATTTTATTCTTATGAAAAAAATTATAGGCAGAGTATATTCCAAAAAATGATCATTTTCAAATGGAGATATTCTCTTAGAAGAGAAAGTGAGATTTTTTGATCTTTCTAAAAGTGACATAAGTTATTTAAAAATTGAAAAAAGATACACATTCCTAGTTATGAAAAACAGAAATAAAAAATATACAAATCGTGGCTTCGTGCCTGGCTCACAGATATTTACTAAAATATTTTTTCCCTTCTATCTATCAAATTTAAGAAATTAAGTACTTTGTGAGTATTTCATACAAGTCTATCCCTAAAAAAATTTAAGTTCCTGAACAATTAATTGAACCATATTCATGACTTTTACTATATAATATTTTCAAATGTTAGTATAATTCTCTATAGAATTTTCTATTTGGTGCAAACTACATCCCAAACAAGGTTCCACAAACCAGGGGCATCAAGATAACCAAAAGACATTACTTTTCCTTCAAAGTTCACAGATCTTACTTTGATTAGCATGCCAACCTAAATTTCTAATTTTTTCTTTCAAATGATTGATTTTTTAAGGCAGTTTTCTCTTTTTATCTTGTGTCCAAAGTATGATCTGAGGCTTAATCAAATTCAAGACCCTCTACAACCAGGTTCTAATTTACTCTCTTACCAATAGCTTTACATTCCAATCAGCAAAGCATACAGCAGAGTGCCCTACCAACAAATTACATTTGATGAATTGAATTCACAGGGGCATAATGGTGATGAAGGCAAGAACATAGTTTGTGGAATTGGGCTTCCTGGGTTTGAGCTAGCCCCCAGAATTTACTTGGTAAACCAAATGACTATCCAAAGTCTCCCAGTCTTCACCTCTATATAATTAGAGTAGCTAACCCATAGGACTGTGATGAGAATTAATTAATGATTATTTATTTAAGTGCTTTATAATAACAAATCTAAGGTACTAATATTATAATCAACTTTCTAAAGATAGTAACACTCCTACATTATAATGGTTAGAATAATCCAAGAGTGAACATTCATTCATTCATTTTAAATATTCAACAAGCAATATACTATATACTGGGCAATATGCCAGGCCTAGAATATACAGTGGTCAGTGAAGGAGATGTATTTTATATGTTCATGGCAAATATAAAAGAGTTACACACACTTGTGAAGAAACTACATCTATATTCATTTCATTTAAATAATATGAAAAAGTTATTTAAAGTACCTTCTTTCCTGTCACTCTGGCTAATTTCAGCATGAGGAAACACTTTTTGCAAGACTGTTAGAATGTTGTTGAAGCTCCTTTCCAGCAGTGGCCTTATAATAGGTGATAGTGCATGTCCTGAAGACATCACAGCACGTTGGGAAGCAGGCACTATATTCTGCATTGCATGGTAAAAATCTTGGGCACTGAGCACTATTGAGGAAACATCCAGCTGCAGTTTATGACTGCTAGCATATATCTGCGGATATCGCCTCCGAAGAGCAATGAGGGCAGCTTCAGTGCACAGGGCCTTGATATCAGCTCCACAGTAGCCTAATGCACAAAAGAAGAAGGATAACAAAGGTAAGTTTATTCTTCCAAGTTCCCATATATATTTTGTAAATATATACACCTTTATGCAAAGTAATAAAAATACTAAATCAGTAATTATATATAATTTTATTGGAAAAATAAACACTGACCATTTAATGTCACTTAACAAAACTGTTGAATTGAGGGCTAAATACTCAAGACAAAAATGTTTTTGAATATTTTAAATTAACAAAAGGATAAACTAAAAGTATTAACACAAAACAAGCCAGGTATTAAGTGTCAAAAACACTGATTAAAATGTACAACTTTATTCAGGAAAGGTTTTAAAAGAATTAAAACTTCTTTTCAATCTTTCATCAATATTGTCAATCATTAGTTTAGTTCTCATGACATTGAGCTTGCCTATAAATTATTTTTTTCTAAAACTATATGCTCTAAACATAAATGAAATGGTAGTGCAAAGTAGTACAGAAGCAGAAACTTCAAAAACAGCTAATGCATTGCCAACCCTAAGTGTAACTCACTAGAGTTAACAATTACCTAAAAATTATAACTTTAAATTATAATTAATCTATTAGCTCAAAGGGCATTAAATGGAATAAGAATGTTAAAAAATAGTTCAATTGATTTTCCGCTTTAACTTTCTTTATATATCTATTTAGTTTAAAATGAATGAAATCAAATGTCACAGGCTATATCAATACAAAGTATAATATATTACGAAGTATAATATACTATCCATATTTAATGGATGATGCAGTTAAACAACATTTAATTCATCTGAGCAACAAATACATACAAAAACACATGAACTGTTAAGTCTTCATCACAAAAAGGAGGTAAAATTCAAACTAGCCACATTATCTTATATCATACTACACTTGGCTTCCTTTATCAGTTCTGCCAGCAGAGGGAACCACTCAAACATTTTATAGAACACTGGCCCCAAGGGATATTATCAGGTTTGTTCCCCTTAGTATACCTCACAGTGGTATACCTCATGGAGCACTTAAATACTGAAATAAAAATGGTGATTACAAAGTAAAATTTATTCAGAGTTAGGGGGAAAAATATTTCCTGTGAGAATTCAACTCAGAAAACTATGAACACATTAAACATCAATATTATACAATGATAGCAATTTATCTCTCAAATAAGTCTTCAGAATAATCGGATTTACCATACTAGCCTCATTTTATTTTCTACTTCTCAATTAATAAAGCTGAAAAAATTATTTTCCTTTGACATACACATTTTTTATGTTCAACAAAATGAATATGAATCATCTGCTCAAAGTTACAATTAAAATAATTCAAGAATGATTAAAACATGAGAGTTCTATCCTCCATATCAGAGTAAAGAAAGAAAAAACTACCATCTTCAAACAATATAAACAATTAAAAATCTTTTTCTTCTTTAAAAGTATATGCATAGTTAGAAAATTACTGCATTGTCCTATTCAAGTGCCAAGGTTTAAAAAAAAAAAGAATTAAAACAAAAACCAAACAAACAAAAAAAGTGAACAGCCACAAAAAGGCATTTTATGTAAATGTTAAATGTTATCCATAACATTTGTTTGCCATAATGTTAAGTATATACGTAACAATATATTGTTTACTTTTTCCTAATTTATTCCAGGTAAAGAGCTTAGCAATAATAATAGATTCCATTCACTGAAGTAAATTTTCACATGAATTATTATAACCAACAGGCTAAAAAAGATAGGAAAGACCTTCTCATTTTGCTTGTGATTAAGAATTACTGGTCTAACCAAGTAGTGCTGCCCAGGGTGGCATATTGCTTCTGGGACTAGACTAGAAACTCCTTTGGGGGTGATTCAGTCACCTGATTAAAGCATCTTTCTACAGTTCATGTAAAACCTAATGCAGCTAGGTTATGGACTTCCTCCAAATTAGTAAGGATAAACTTCTTAGCAACATGGAAGAGATTTTTAAGTCTAAATGAATCATTAGATATGAGTAAGTCTCAGACATAAAAATGTTTTATAATTAGAAAGATAAAGTGGTATTTTAAGAAGCATAATAAATCTCAGGATAAGCACCCTCCCCTCAAAAAAAATTACTGGTCTATATTCATCAGAGTGAATGATAAAACTGAAACAAAAATATAGATTCCCAAGTCCCACAACAAACAGTGAACAGAATCTCTATGGGCTTGAAATTTTAAAATGTGTATTTTGAGAAAGTTTTAAAAATTCTTCTGACACAAATTAAAAAATTGATAACTACTGACTTAATACACTTCCTTAAGTAGACTCTAGAATTAAAGGTGCAGCAGGCTGGAGATATAGCTCAGTTGGCAGAGTGCTTGCCTCGCATGCATAAGGCCCTAGGTTCAATCCCTAGTACC